CTGCCAGCCTTTGTTAGAAAACATAGCTCCTGACACAGATGTGACATGAAGGGAAGGAGATGACAGAGGATGTGATACAATCATCTATGCTTTATGGCCCAATTCCATTTACACCGTTTTTTTATAGTGGAATGTTACTGCATATGTTCAGTTTTATAGTCAGTATGTGGTAACCACCAGTTCATGGTGGACAGTTCGGGTTGCAGAGTCACTTGGTATCCATGATCAGGCTAACTGTTTCTATCTGAGCCCAGTAGTGAGCTGCTTTTGAAATAGATAATATTTATAAATAAAAGAAAGAGTGGTCTTTCTCAAAAGCTTATAATGCTCATGCTATGATTGTGATATGGAGAGTGCCAAAGGCTCACACAGCATGTCACTTACTGATCCACTGGGTCACAAGGTACAGGAGGTAGAGAAGGTTGCACCATGACCTAGATCTGTTGCAGAGCCCTCTGTTGCTCAGATCCTACTCTGAATTAGCAGCTTTACAGGTTACCTGAGAAATAGAACAGAGCACCACATGTAAATGCGGTTTACGCTGTCTTTACAATCCAAAGAATCCAATTCTTCTTTATTTTTGCATAAGTACAGTCTCAACAACTTTTCTGTCAGTTTAGGAAAGATATCCCAGTGTATACCAAACAACTAGGTCTCTAAAAACATCCCTACTATTGTAGATTCATAAACTTTTACAGAAATTTGCTTTCATTTTCTGCCCTTATGCAGAGGAGATCTAGTTCCCTCAGACAGAGTTTGCCCATATCACCAAGATGACTTATGGGAATTTTGAGGTTTAAAATCCTCAGCCACAAAATTAGCTGCTTACTACAGCATTCAACTAAAAATTGTGTTACTTATGAGACCAGCCTAGAAAACACACATGTACTGCACACTCTTACCCAATTATCCTTATCTTATGTGTCAGAGTCCCAATCCTTCTCCACATACATCTTTATCTTAGCTTAAAAGAACACATGGAATTGAGCCCCTAATCTGTGTTCCAGCTCTGCAATCCTTACTATGTTTTCTTGGACCTCAGCCTATCTTCCCTGCAACTACAAAACAGAGGGACTCTCCCAAAGATGCCATGGTGACCTTTTTGTTCTGTATGTGCTTTCCTAATTTCATAGTCACAGTTTCAATTTATCTTTTTCTCTTGTGTAACCCCTCTGGGGTGTTAGAAGAACCTTGTGGACTAGACTTTACAATTGTTACAATTACCGTAGTTGTTGTAGCAACTAAATGTCTTAACCACCTGTTCTCCAACACTTTTCCTTCAACCTGCATTTCATTCCACGTCACCACCAGTGACAATTGATTACTCATGAATCTGTCTCTTGCTATGCATATTTTCTATGCTCCAATTCCTGCCTGGAAAGGTAATTAATACATTTTTTCTATATATAGATATAGATAGATAAATAGATGACAAACCTAATCTCAAAATCTAATTTTGAGAGTCTCTGAGTCTATTGCTGATATTAATTACTGTATCTGTCAGAGTCCCAAAAGGAAAGAATTGGCACATTCAGTAAGATACTTAGAAGAAAATTTATTTACAAAGAGAACATTTACAAAGATGCAGGTGTAGGGAAACTACAGAGGAAAGTGCTATAATCTAAACTAGTAGCAACAGAGCTATTTTCACCCATGTGACCATAAAGATGAGCCATTATGAGACACAGAAGGAGAAAATCATGGGGAGGAGGCTGCATTGACAGGAGTAGTGACATCATTTAAAGTTCACAGCCAGCCCAAGGTGACATTGCAAGATGGAGCCAAGAGAATAAAAAACCTGACTTTACTGTCTTCTTTCTAATCTCCTGACAAAGACCTTAATGATCATGCCCTCAGGGCCCTTTTGATATAGTTCATACAAGTTAATTTTGGGGGCCAGAAAGTGAAAAGTGGGTAGTGGATGTTAGGTTACCTGAAAGATACCCAGTATACTTCTTATTTGATTTTCTGATAGTTTAAAACAATTTAATGAATCTAGTGGTCCTCAACTTGTTCGGTGATGAGGTGATGAGAGAAATATGATTGCATGCAAATAAACGTGAATGGTGACATGGCTGTGGTTTCAGGACATATCTCACTTTTCAATCACTATTTTCATTCTTTTTACTCCAATAGTGCTTTCTTCTACTCTGTCCACATTGCTGACAATCCATGAAATCCTGACTTCATTGCTCTATTCTTTCCTTCTTCTGCATCTGCTGTCCTGGGATTAAAAGGGTAACTCAGAAATAGAGAATTCTCAGAGAAGTTGATAAAATCCAATGCACTGTCTAAAAAACGTGTATGTACAATGGAGATTTCAAGGACAGATGTTTGTGGGTCACTGAGCCCACATCTCTACAGTAGGTTTCAAATAACACTCATTTATTCTAGAGGAAATTCTACATTCTCACATCGCTCACTGGTGGTCACCAGATGGAGAGAGACTTGCTTTCCTGATGATAAATGATTCGTTGGTGCCTACCATGGTCATCCCTCGGTTTACTGGAGCATTGTATCCCAAAGGAAAGCAGTATCCATATCCTAAGGTAAGTAATGTGGAAGAGCTAGTTTGTTCCTTCTCTCTCTGCCCCAGTGACTTGATCAATAGTATTCGTAATTCATGCACAGTTGTCTTTGTAGGAAAAGAGAAGTTTCCCTTACTTGTTGACAGACTCATAATTTTTGAGCTTGCAGTAGTCTGTATACAGTGGTTGGGTAGAAAGAGGTAGTGATGATTTGGGGGTGTGAGAACTTTCACTTTTGCTACATTTCTTTCCTTCTGGTGCTCGTTCTTGTTTTTTCTCACCTGCCTAGTTGAAAAGAGGGTGAGAAGAGAAAAGGGGCAGCACTGAGGCCTCGGCAAAGTTTTCTCCAAGGCATATCCTATGAGTTGTTAATAGGAGTTAAGTTCTTAGTTAAGAAAAAAACTAGCTTCTTTCAGATGATTTATTAGAGCACTTAATGCGCTATATGTTAATGTGTATTATAAATCTCGTATAAAAAATAGAGTAAGCATAAAGAATCTCCAGTAAAGGAATAGACTAAGCATAAAGAATCTCAATAAAGAATAGACTAAGCTGAAAATATAACCAATAAAGAACAGACCAAACATAAAGAATTTATTAGTATTAGTATTAATATCAGCATTATTTTGGCAGGGCATACTCTAAAACATACTTTATGAAATGCTGGTGTTGAGTCATAGCCAGAAGTAGCTAGCATAGGTGGCATTGTTTTATTGGGTGAGATGAATATGAAAATCCTGCCCACAGAACAAGCCTATTTTAAAGTGCTGGATGATGCCTTTGGGAGCAGGATGCAAAAACATCTGGATTGTACTGATTTTTCCTTCGTATGCCATCTTTAATTACTCATGGTCTCTTTTTAAGAAATTACTTCCTCATGTTTACATAACAAAGAAAAAATACTCAGAGTGAGGCCCCTGTATGCTGATCATGTGATGATGTCTTATAGGAAACTTTTATAATTCCACTTTACAAATTTTAGCTCTTAATTAGGTAAGAAAGAATGCTGGTTTCATTGAGAAGCCATTTTAATGCCATTTCTTTAGTAATTGTACTTTGTTTTTCTCAAGCACAATAGGTTTTGTACCTTTGAATGTGTATATTACATTAGCTGGGCAAAGTATTGGGCAGATTCCCATCGCACTTGTTACTGCAGGCCTGCAATGAAGGCCTGGTCAGGGTGGGGGTGCGGTCATTCACAATTTCTTCTCCCACCATCCACCAGACTAAGGTTATCCAAGGGGGTTGCGGGCAGGGGGTGGAAAAAGGACTGAATATGATCAGTAAGGAATGAGATGAGCATTTTCCTTACTCTGAGCTGCCTTTCTTCCCCCTCCCTCGTGTAGGATGAACGATTGAGAGGAATTTAATTCCATGATTTTGAAACTATTTTTAGTGTTGTTTGGACACAGATTAGAAAGTGCATGTACTTAGTGCTCTTCAGGAGAAGATAGCAAAAATTTGACCTCACAACAAAATAATCATATTCACCAAGAAATTTTTATTGTACTCTAACAAAAGAATGTATGACTTATTCTATTCATAGATTTAGCCATGTTTTTTGTGGGTGACAGTTTATACCTACACACATACTAGCACCTTTTTTGACCCAGAGAAAACCTCAAAGACTTCTAAAATATATTAATTTTCACATTGTTATATTTACTTATGATAATGAAAGATCACCCAACAATTTAAGCAGAAAATGGAAAACTAGTGATATACTGTTAAAGCCACATCCAACTGTTCAGTGTGTGGTGTGAAGGGAGTAAAATCACATCCAACTTTTCAGTGCACTGCAGAGAGAGAATAAAATCTTCCCCATGGAAGGGACAACCTTTTATAATTTGTTCCCCAGGAGTAATAGCAGATTTTGTGATTCACATCAAAAAGCCATATACATTACCTGCATCTTCTAATTGCCTTCTTAGTTATGAGTTCATGGTGCTTGAGCTCGGGCACTCCTAGGCCTCGTAATTTTGACGAGAGTGAGACAAACCAATGGACAAATAGAAACATCAAAGGAAATTGAAATATGTTGGCAGCAATTCAGAAGATACTGGTA